GAAACTAATCCTAATGTAAATATATAATAATTTATTTTATATTCATTTTTAATATTATACTCATTATTTTATTTATTGTTTTATTTATTTTCAGGCACTCTTCAGATCCCTCTTAAAGTTTCGAAATCTCGAATTGTTGGCTATTTATCCAGGAGAGAATGCGAAGAGACAGCATCTTGAAAAATTACAAGCACATCGACGTTTAAAAGATGTACATTTTTATTTTTGTAATATTGATGATGATCTGAAAGGTTATTATCAGGATCAAAGCCGAAAGAATAGAGGTAGTTTATATACAAAATTTTTGCCAGGAAGTTTTTTTACGACTGGTTCTGAATAATTTATTGAATTAACGAACTACTTAATGTAAAAAAAAAAAAATTCAATATTGTCAATTTGATTTTTTTTTTTTTTTTTTGGTATTTATCCGATTGTTTCAAAAGTATCATAGCTGATTATTAAATTAAGAGGATTTAAGAACAATATTTATAATATGTACTTGTATTCTCTTTGAAAATGAAATTCAGGATTGAATCTTCATTTAATATACATTGTTATTATATAGTTAAAGCGCTTCACGAAAATGAAAAATTTTCTAAAACAAAATCAAAAAAAAAAATTGTAGTTATTCTTAGAAATCGGGCAGTTTTATTTTGTACAAATTGCCTGCGTTTTACGTGAACATTTTGATGTAGCAGGGACGATTTTTGAACTTAAAAATGCATTTGTGTTTTCAATAGATTTTTTACTTAATTAAAAAAAAAAAAAAAGTTGAAGTGTATTGTCTTCTATTTGCATCGAAGAATGTATAATTAAATAAAAATATGCTTTTTTTTATTTTAAATTGTAATAATCATAGTAGTCTTGAAAATGTTAATAAATTAATAAATAACAATAGTTATTAGTTCTTTTCTAATCTATATAATTCTATTTTCATAAATAAATCTAAACATTCTTTTTTATGGATATTAAATACTATATTGCTAATATTGCTAATATTGAAACTTTATAAAACTTTGGGTACTATACCAATTTTATCCCATTTCAAACAATCCCTATCTGTTTCATCTAAATCTCTGACCTCACCATTTTTGTTAATTCTCATTGAAACAAGTGATGATGATTGGGAATAAGGAATTACCTCTTCTTGAAGAAGATCAATCATAGAGGCATTATCACCTCCTATAGAAGTAATAACACGTTTTATAAAATCACCACAACGTTCAAGTGCTATTTGAGAGGGTTTAGAAAATGAAAAAATCTAATTTGATAATGTACGAAATTGTGGTTAAAATTTTTATCAAAAAAATTTTGTAATATTATTCTAGATATGTATTAATTTTTACTTACATGCCAGGCATGAGGCATATCATCATAAACTTCAAGTATAACGTTAGTAGGATTTTTAAAGGGTGATTTATCAAAATTTTTAGTTGCATATAAAGGTAATTGATATTCTTGAGGATTTGCAGCTTTGTGGCTAAATAAGATTGCTTCATCATGAAGTTTTTCATGTCCTCCAACTTGCTATAATTCATTTTACATATTAATTATATTGGTATTATAACTAACTAATAAGCCTATTACAAAGATAATTATCGCAAAAAGTAACTTACACATAAGATAGGTGGTAAATCTCCAAGGGACTCTGCAAGCATGGGACTAGAAATTAAGAAGTGAGGTTAAAATTATATTCTCATAAATTCCTCAGGTTAGGTTAGTATTAGTGTGATGTACTTGCCTAATGTAAGGGATTGCTAATGCTTCATTAGCACAATAAAATTGAAGACGAGGTACTTCGGTGAAAGAAGGATGACTAACTATTCTAGGTTTTTTTTGTGCAATTTTATCAGCTAAAACCTTAGCATTGGCGATATATTCTGTGGTATGTGATGAAGATACAATTTTGTGAAGACCTAATGTTTTAGGAAAATAGTCGACTTTATCTATTTTGGTATCCCAAAATGATGGCATGCTTTGAGTCAAATCTACCTTTTTATTATAAGAAACGTTGAATACGTTAGTTTTTGTCAATTTAAATCGAGTCTCAGATATATACATACCCATGGTGACTTGAAAAATAAATAATTATAATATGGTTAATATCATGTAAATATGATTGTAAATATGACTGTAAATATGAAGAATCGGTAAAAGAAAATCATTTATTTATTTATTTTATTGCTCACCAACCCAATTGCACCTCCTGGTAAAGGTAATCCAGCATCTCTTAAAAATAAGAGAGTTGCAAAAGTTAAACCGCCACCCACAC